GCTGAGACATTCTGATGAAACCACCTGGGTCATGGATGGGAGGTCGTCAGAGGAGCTACAGCAAACAAGCTCTCAGTGTAAGTGCTCTGAGGTTATCCCTTTGTTTTGTTCAGGCCTGTCTGAATTCCTGCCCTTGGAAAGCTCCAAAGGTGAATTTGTGATTAGAGGGGATCGCCAGCACCTCATTTGTTATCCCAGTGTCACTCTAGGTGTATTTATGACACGCTCTACACCACATCCATGACCTGGGTATTATTTCTACCACCCTCCTCATCCAAACAATCTGAGCTTGTTATTACATTCATTAATAGGATATTTTGATTTGGGTATCACTGTTATTCCTTGAGGGAAACATTGAATTGAAATGGAAACTGTCCCAAAAATATGCTGAGCATAGAACATGCCACAGGTCAGGGGGTCTGTGTGTGTGTGTGTGTGTGTGTGTACTGATAACGTTCCATGCCTAATGCCACAGATGGCGACTCTTTCCATGCTCCAGGTCCTGTCTGTGTGGTGTCTATGGAGAACACAAACAATGCGACAGAGTTCATCCTGCACGGACAGACACAGGAGAGGACAGTAGCAAATCTGTGCTTCTTGGTATTTCTAGTCTTTTATGCAGCTATCATTTGGGGAAACCCGCGCATCATCATCACTCTAAGGACAAGCGAACAGCTGAACTCTCCCATAGACTTATTCCTGAGCTGTTTGTCTTTCATAGACATCAGTTACTCTGCTGTCTCAGCTCCCAAACTAATTCATGACCTTCGCATGGGGAAGAAGACTATCTCCTTTGTGGGCTGCATAGCTCAGCTGTTCGAGAGCCATTTCTTCAGGTGCACTGAGATCTTCCTTCTCATCATGATGATGTCGGACAGCTGCATTGCCATCTGCAAATCACTGCATGACAGGAGTATCATGAGCAGACGTGTCCGTGGCTGCCTCGTTATAGCCTTGTGGCTGTGGGGCCTTGTGCACTCCACAGTGCAGACACTGCTGGTTCTCCAGCTGCCCTTTTGTGGGCCCAGTGGGATTGATCACTGTTTCTATGAGGTTCACTCCTTGCTGGAGCTGGCCTGCAGTGA